GAGAGGGCCACAGGGACGGTTTCTATTGCCCGAAGCTGTCTTCCTCCTTTATGTCTGACTTCCTGAAGGTACAGTCCCACCGGCACCTGCTTCCCGACCCACCTGCACTGACGTCACTCTCCCTGCACAGTCTACTCTGAACCGTGAACAGCCCACCCTCCAGCCAGGGGAGGAGGAAGGGCATTTTTCTGGGTAAAAGAGAAAGAACGGAGGTGGTAGTAAACGTGGTCTCACTTTACAGGATGGAGAGAACATCGTGTGTGTGTGTGTGTGTGTGTGTGTGTGTGTGTGTGTGTGTGTAAGTGGAGGACAGTCACCCTGACAGCCTGGCTCCCTTCAGGTCATTCACAGATCACTTACTTCAGTAAGGCTTCCCATCCTTTCTGCCACACTAAATTCTACTAAACTGAAGGGACCTGCTTTCTTGGCCTGCCTTCCCACCTCCTAAGTCCCGTGTTTCGACCTGAAGAGTGAAGAGATCCTCATCGAATCTGACGCATCCCATGGGCCTCACAGATTTCCAAGTTTCTCCTGCACTGTGGAGTCTGAGAGCCAGCGATGGGAATGGTAAAGGAACAAACTTTGTTTTGCCTGTGAGCTTCATCTAAATAACCAGGTCATCAAGGACCCATTCTTTTCAAAAATCTTGGTCTGGGGGAGATGAACCACCCCCTGGGATTCCATCCTGTCAAGAAATTGAGCACCCCCTTTGTGCAAACCATCTGCCCTAGCTGCCTCTTCAGACACCTGTCTTCTTGTCCCCCTTCCCTCCCCACCTTCAGGGATGTTGTGAGTCAGGGAATCCAGGGAAGAACTCCAGGTGTCAGGACCCTATCTAGATAATATTTTTAGATTCCTCTGCTCCTTAGCGGCCTGCTTTGGGGCCAAAAAAAAAAAAAAAAAAGGCAAGGACTTTTTTAAGGGTCAGAGTTTTAAAAACAAAAGCATCTTCCCTAGAAACTTTTGTGAATTGTTTGCACTTGTGCCTGTTTTAAATTAAACTGAGTGTTCAAAACCTCTGGGCTGTCGTCTCTGAGAACGGAGCCAGGCCGTCTTCAAGCTGGACACTTCAAGCAGGTGTCTGGTGGGCCCCCCTCCCATATGAGCTCCCCAGCAGTCACTCAAGTCAACAGAAAATCCAGCTCTCTAGTGGCATGTGGGCCCACGAGTGCAGATAAGGAAGGAAACAGGAAGTGAAGGGCCCCTGGGACTGAAAGAGCCGAGAAAGAGACAGAGCTGTCCTTCCCAGGGGAGAAGAACCCATTCAGGAAAACCAGGGCCATGTGCTCTGCTTCCAGGTACGACAGGGGCCCTGCAGGCAGCCACTGGAGCTGGTGGCCACTTTCCGCATCGGGGTCTCCTTCTTCCTTTCGCTTCCCGCTCCAAGGAAAGTCCGAGGCTGCTCTCCTACAGCTGTCCATAGAAAGTGGCCTTGAACTGCTTCCAGGGAGAAAGCAGTCTGTTTCGGTTCTCAGAAGCAAGGGGTTGTGGAGGAGCAGTGCAGGGACTGGAAATCGATAGATGTTGGCTCTAGTCCTGCAGGAAGGGGAGGTGGATGGCATGATCTTTAAGCATCTAGCTCGGACACTGTTTCCAGCACTTCCTCCCTGAGAGTTCATCCCACCCTCAGCCCCAGGGCTCACCGAAACCTCTTACCCAGGCTCCAGGGGTCATGCAGGGGTCATGCAGACCCTCTCCTGCTCCCCACACCAGCCCCACCTGACAGCTGCCCTGGTCTGAGGATCCTAGTCCCACCAGCTCAGCTGGAAGCAGAACCTGAGTCGTTCCTTCAGGAGGTGGCCACAGTGCACAGTGGGACAGGCAGGGATGGAGGCTGACGGAAGGCAGAACCTTCACAGGGAGCCAGCACACCCTCCTGGCACTCCACAGGGAGCCCGGAATCAGGAGGAGTTGGCGAGGCAAAGAGAGGCCAGTTCTTGCAACTGAATAATACTGGATTTATTAACTCTTCTTCTGAGTTGTAATAGTCCTTCAACCGCACACCGTCATTCCGAAAGCGTGTGCGGACGTCATTTAGCCTCCCACACAGCCTAGTTCTGAGCTTGATGTTAGGGTTCTGGGCTCCAGTGGCCCGGTGACTCTTCACAACAATGAAAGCAACGAAGATCGGAACAGAAAACTGTTGAGAAAGGTCTCTTCTAAAGTGGAGTGAGCTAGAGAGGACCCCAGCCTCGATGCCCCGGGGCTGACAATGAGAAGGAAGTGCAGGAGAGCAAAATGTGCTGAGACAGAGAAGTTTTGCCCAGAGCTGGGTCTAGTAAGAAATCTGCAAGAACAGCAAGTCAGTCACACACAGTTCAGTGCAGACAGGAAAGATCTGCTGTGGTTTTTTAGAAACATTGCCTTCAACCACCAAGCTCTTGGCACCTCCGTGGAGAGGAGGCTTCATGATTGTTTACTCAATAAGGAGGGCCCAGGGTGACATTCAACCAGAAAGCCACAGGTCAGCAACATTTGAAAGATGACAGCACCATCAACCTAATGTTCAACCCAGACCTTACGGTGTTATGAAGCCAAAATACTTGTATTCTTACACCATTAAAAACACCATGGAAATTAAACAGTCAGAAAGGGAATTAAGTGAGCAAGCAGGGATGGGGGGGAAGAGTTTGCACTTGGGATGTCCAGTTATCCCCCATCCCACCCCAGATCCTCTCCATGTGGCTTTCCAGGTGCTTCTGTATCCTTCACCCACCACCTAGACAGTGGGACTAAAGAGAGGCAGATGTCTGGGGAGAAAGGAATGAGGGGAGGGCAATACACCTCCAAAACGAAAGCAAATCTCATCAGAAGAAAACAGCGCAGGTCCCAAGGTTCAGAAATTATAAGACAGGGTTGGAAGCCCCTGTTTTTCAGAAGAGAGCAGGAACTCTCTGGACTTGGGAGCCTTAATGTGGAAGATCTTGGGGTCCTTAGTGAAGAAAGGTCTGGGCTCCTGCTACTCCCAATCCGAGTTTTTTTGTTTACTGTCCCTCACTCCACTGCTGGGAAATGATTTCAAGTATCCGGATTTAATAAACTACAAGAGGAAGAGGATTCCATGGGTAAATGCACACGGAGGGAGAAGTACATTGCGGTGATCCCAAGTAAAACCAGAAGTCTGAACTCCGAGCCAGAGCGCCGCGAGGAAAGCGCAGCGCTGCCACCAGGGGGCACCAGAGATCACGTCCAGTGCGGGGTTGGGTGAGGGGGGCGGCGTTGCTGATTTTGGAGGGGTGGAAGGACTACAGAGGGCCCGCTCACCCCCAGGCCCAATTTCTCAGCAGAGATCATTCTCTCCCTGGGCAGTTCCCTTAGAGTTACTGGTGCGAAATCTTCCGTTCTGCAAAGGCGTTTTAGATCGACGTCTTGAAAACCCCCCATCTCACACGGGTGAGGCGCTGCACGCTCAATCTTCGGGGTTCACAAAAAGAGCCCCCAAGCGCCGCCATCCCGCAGGCTGGGCGCACAGATACCTGTGCTAGCGTTTCCGCAGGGTCCTAGGGCACGCGTTCGCCAGACCCCCTAGAATCCCCCTCTTGGGCCAGCACAAAGAGGAGGGTGGGGAGGGGAGGAGAGGAAGGACCACGCCGGAAAAGGGCATTTAACCATCTCTCCACGGTTGCCTCTGACTCACTAATCTGCCCAGTAATGAAGCTTTGCCCGGCCTCCGTCCCACGCGCTGGGGCAGAGGCAGGGGTCCTTGGTCTCGACCTCCAGCATCCATCATCCGCCCTGCCCTCCATTAACAGCCCAGCAAGAAGCAGGAGCCCTTTAACAGCCCCCTTCCAGCTTCTCCAGAGTTTGATGTAATTTAAACCCGGACCTGCGGCTCGTGTGGGCTTCCCGACTCCCTCGCGCCGCCGTTTAACGTGGCAAACACTTCAGTCAATTATCCCCCTCGCAGAGCTTCTATTTAAAGAGACATTGTCAGGTTCTTAAGCCTCGGATCAGACCCGCTGCTTTCTGCTTCATATACAAAGACTCAAAACACGAGTTCTTTGAGGATTGGAAGAAATACAATTAAGCCAAGCCCTCGCAACCGTTCCACCCTGCGGGAGCACCCACATGCGGGACGGGGGAGCTGGGAGGTGGTGGGGGCGGGGAAGTGTCAAGTCCTTTCATTTCAGGCCTCTAATAGCAGAAGTAAGGCTGGGCCGCGAGGCACACAACCTCAAAGATAAAACTCAAATGCAGCCGAGCTGAAGAACAAGCTGGCTCAGGTGCTGGGAGCTGGGCTGGATAGGGGTTGGTGTGGGGCATCAACGAAGTTGAGTCCTGGGTCAGCCAAAGGCAGAGGCAGCTGGAATCACCCAGAAGCTGTTTCAGGAGACAACCAGCGTTCAATACCAAGGCTTCTGCCACCCCCAAATACGCTTTCATTGTCTTGAGGCAGAAGTTTCTCCTCAGAAAAACGTTACCTTCAGATTCCTTCCTAATCAGCCCTTCTGTCCAGAAGGGCTCAGAGGCCAGTCTCCTTGCTCTCCTCCAACACTTAAGAGGAAGGGAGACTTAGGTCACGTGCAGCATTACTATCGTATGACAAGACAGAGGGGGGAGGCTAGACCTTTTTTCTACAAGTCAACTCTTCTGCTGCCTGGCTGCTAGAGTGTGGGAAACTGGCCAGGAGGAAGTGACCTGGCAGGAGTCCTGGAAGACTCAGAACTGAGCCTTAGGGCTCAGAGTAGGGGATCCATCTTCCTGGCTGGAAGGCTGTAGCATATGGAACCAGTCTTCTACTCTTCCTTTTTCAGGACAGGAAAGGTAGCTCTAGGGAAGGAGAGAGACCTAGGCAGGTAATACCAACAAGCACAAAGAAGAAATAAAATAGGGGCTCTCTTCAGAGAGAGGGTTGGTAGAGGTCTCGCCTTGGCAGTGGGGACAGGTTCTGGGATCACAGGCCGGAAACTGCCAGCTAACTGAAAGACCTGGAAGCAAGAAAATCCCAGTGGAGGAGAGACCTTAAGAGCAGGGGAAGCAGGGCCCAACCTCAACGCTGTTTACCGCTGAGCGTGCAGCACCACAGCCTCCGTGCCCGCCTGCCAAGGCTGAGCCCCAGGCCCCGAGTGGGGCAGAGCATCGGCCTCTAACTCCGCGCCGCTCTCGGGCCCTGATGTCTCCCCGACCAGGCTGGGGATGTCTGGAGCTGTGGAGCGTCGGCGCAAACCCAAACGGCCAGAGCCGGGGCCACCCTCCGGGTGGGGGCTAAGGCCAATGGGGGCTTGCACTAAGGTCGGAGGCACTCCCTCCAGCACCTCCTGCGAACGCCACCTCCCGGTCCCCGAAGACTGGGGCGAGTGTGGTCGGGCCATCAGGGCTCCTGCCCGCAGTCGAGCCGCCTCCTCCTCGGTTACAGCACCCAGCGCCAGGCTCATGCTCCGGCCCAGCTCAGGCCTGTCGCTGCCCTGCGCTCGGTGCCGGCCGGAGCCCTTGCCCCCTGACCCAGCCTCGCCGCCGTGACCGTGGCCGCCGGCTGCTCGCGCAAAGCGCGCCAGGAGAGGCCGAGGTAAGCGGCGAGGACTGGGCCGGCGGCGCTCGGGGCTGGGCGCGGGAGCCGGACGGCCAGGGGGACTGTCGGAGTTGGAGCCCCGGGCGGCGGCGGCGGCGGCTGCGCGGCCCCAGGGCCCGGTGAGGGCTTGCACGCAGGTCCCGTGGCCGCGGGCGGCGGCCAGTTGCAGCGCCGTGAGACCCGCTCGGTTGGTGCGGTCGAGGCGCAGGCCGAGGCGGCGGAAAGAGCGCACCAAGAACTCGAGCACCGCCCCATGGCCGCACGCCGCCGCCCACATCACTGGGCTATTGCCCGCCGAGTCGGCCGCCTCCGGGTCGCCGCTGAACTGCACCAACAGCTGCACGGCGTCCAGGTGGCCGCGCTCGCAAGCCAGGCTAAGTGCCGTGCGGCCGCGCTCGTCCCGCAGGTTCACGGCTGCACCTTGCTCCAGCAGTAGCCGCACGAAGCGCGCGCGCAGCGCGGGGTCCGGCAGCCCCACCGCCACCATGAGTGGCGTGCGGCCCTGCTCTGCGCGGCAGTCGATGATGCTGCGGTCCAGCGCATCCAGCACAAAGCGGGCCAGGTGCACTTTGCCCGCCTGCATGGCCTCCAGGAAGGTGCGCGTCCCCGCTCGGGGGCACAGGTCCTTGGGCTTGAGCATAGCCCCGGCCACCGCTCGCAGGCAGCCCAGCAGCTCCGCACGGGGGCGCCCCTGTTCCCGCGCCCCGCCGGGCTCTGGGCCCCGCTGGTGCTCTGGTTTGGCTCCCTCCGCGCGTGGGCGGCTGCAGCCGAAGGTCCTGATGTTCCCACTCTTTTGCCCCCGCGGCTCCCGCTGCCCCGCCGCTCCTGGGCCGCACGCCTGGCGCCTCGCAGCTCCTTCCCTGAGCTTCCCGCCTGGAAGTGTAGGTTCCTCGCTACTCTGGGCTCCGCTCCCGGCCCGCTACAACACTACGGGAGCCAAAGCTCGGCCCCCTTCTGTCAGTCCCGCTGTTGTCCGCGTGGCCGGTGCCCCTCCGTCCCTTGTGGCTTGGAGCCGCGCCACTCACCCGCACCCGCGGCAGCCCCCGCTCCCCTGCTGAGACGGTGGCGCCCGCCGTGCGCGCCTGCCTCCAGCCCTGGCGGGGCGCGCCGCTCCTCAAGCTGCTGGCGCCGCTCCTCCGCCTCCTCCCCGCTCGCGGGGGCCGGGCCACGCCGGGGCGCTTGCTCCTTACTTGGGGGGCTCAGCGGCGCGGGAGCCGCCGCAAGCCTACATACCTGGCTTTATAGCCTCGGGGGTCTCCATGGCAATGGCTGCCCTGGAAGCGGGCTGAGCCGTCAGGGCAGGAACGCACGGGGCGGGGGAGACCGCCTCTGACCCCCACCCCTTTGTGGGCCACGAAGTCGGGGAGCGGCTCCTCCTCCGCGCTCCCCTGGGGCTGCGGCGGCAGTTGCGGGGCGGGGGCGGCCGTTGCTTGCTGGGGGCCACATGCAGCAGGCCAGGCCAATCCCAAAGTCACAGTCTTCTTTCCTCGTCTTCCCGCCCTCCGCCCCCACCAAAGTCGGTGCTCTTGGCTCCTTAGAAACTTGGGACCTCGGACCCGTCGGGGAAGACGGGAGGGCTGCCTCCAGCGGTCCAGGTGGAAGGAAATGGGATCCCAAGAGGGCAGAACTGGACCATAAGCGAGCCGGGAGGTCGCGGTGAAAGGCGAACAGGAAGTAATTGCCGGTGGGGGCGGGGGGGGAGGGGGTCTGCGCTGCGCACAGGATGGGGGGCGCTCATTCTGGCTGAGAACTGCCACTCGAAGTGTAGCGAATCACGCACTCACACACAGTTGTTCTTCCCGCACACGCTCACTCTGAGCGGGGGTGGAGGGGAGAGTGCGCTTTCCAATCTCCGACGTCTCCAACCCCGACCACGCGCGCGTTTGCCAGCTCCCGGCGGCTGACAGGCAGGCGGAGCCGAGACGCGGCAGCCAGAGCGGGAGCCTGGAGATCCGAGAGTGCTGCAGCCGCGTGAAGAGCTCCCTGGCGCCGCCACCCCGGGAAATGCTAGGGGACGAAACGCAAGGCTTCTACGGTCCTCCCTTCCCTCCTGAGCACAAAACCACCCCCAGACCACAGGGCTCTGATTTTGACTGCTAGCTGACCCTTTTGAAAGGGAAGAAGAGCGCTTGAGTCAGTGGGGTGTTGAAAAACCTCCGCAACGCCACTCGCTCCTGAGATGGAGGGCCGAGGTGCTCAGGCCTCTGTTGAGGGGAGTCCGGGCTCCTCAGTGCTCCGTGGGGCGGAGGGAGGGTTGGTTGGGAGGGTAGGTGTGTAGGGGAGGCAGGAATGAATGTTTGTAACGTATGAAGAGAATCAAGTATCATCTACAGAATTTACTGAGACTTTTCATGAGCCAAGTATTGTGTTCTCAGCTGCGGGGAAATACAGAAGCAAAGTTCAGTTCTGGATAGAAGAGACCTTCCTTCCCAAGCAGGAAGACAGGACCGGGACAAAAAAGTAGAGGCTATCGTCCTAGGGCTCAATACATTGGTTAAATACAAAACGGAGACAGTGCTCAGAGGAAAAGGCAAAGTTGTGGGGAAGAGAGGTAGTCTCCCAGGGAAGTCTGGAGACAGGACTTCGGAGGTGCTCTTCAAGCATGTGGGGGATCTGACTGCTAGGAAATTAAGAAGACATTCCAGACAGGGTTATTGAGGCCAGGCCAGGAAGTGAGAAAAACACCTGTAGGGGACAGTATTGAGGACTGCTTTACTGAGAACCTTCCTATAGAAGACAGGAAATTAAGGGAATAATAAAGATGTCCTGAACCTGGGCAGAGCATGGATAGTATGCTTTGCAGCATAAGCAAGGAGACGATTTGCCCTTCTGGAAAGAAGACAGTGGGCCCAGATGGGTGAGTGGCAAAGTGCACACTGGGCTCTGCACTCCAGGCTTCTTGCCTTTCTCCAGCTCCTAGGCTTCAGGGAGGCTCACCTGGCATTCTGAGCCCAGCTACGGGGCAAGGGCTCCCGCATCCCTCTCTTCCGGGGGGCGGTGCATGTGATGTATATCTGTATATATTGTCAAGCTCCCACTCCTTCTCTTTTCTCATTGTTTAATTGCCCTGCTCTGACCCTTTTCTCTCCTGGTGTCACAAAAAGGGCACAGCATTTGACATCGGAGTTAAGTCACAGCTAGAAGGCATTTACTAGCAGTGTGGCTCCAGGCCCGCATTGTCTTATCTGCAAAATGAAGTCGACAATACGACAATACTAGCCCTGCCTACGTCTGGCAAGATCAAGCTAGAGAGTGTCAGGGAAAAAGCTACACGGTTCTTCAGAGCATAGAAAGCCCAATCTCACCCGCCCCAGACATGGGGGCCCCTCCTGGGGTGACGGGACCCCTCCTGGGGTGTCACCTCGGGGTGAGTATAGACGCTCCAACCCCAGTGGGGGTGCAGGAAAGCTCTCGCCCCCCTCAGCAGAAGAAAGGCTTTCCTTCCCTTCATGACTCAATTTCCCTTTTTGCAGCATAAGGGAAATTGCTTTCTTCCATCCTTTCTGTTTCTAGAGTCAGGGAAGGAGCTACCTCTGGAGTCTGCAGGTGGTGGGCCACCTGACCAGCCAGGTAGTGACACACCCCAGGTAGAGGAGAGAAGCAGCGGGAACATGGAATGAGTACATGCTCTGTCCTAAAGAACCACGGCCCCCTCCTCCCTGGGGCTTCTGCCTCTTTTCCTGGGGGTGGATGGAGATAGTTCCCGGGAGGCACCGGAGCTGGAACTTCCTGTTGGGGCCTCAACCATGGCTTGGCAGACGGTGCCACGCTGGCTATTCTTTAGAAGGAGCAGCCAGTGCATTTGCCCCGTCTGGGCATCACCACGTTAGCCAGACCTGTGGCGGGTCCCAGGCCCTGGAGCCCTAGATCTGACTTTTCTGTAGGCTCAGTATGTTCTGAGCAGAAAAGAAACAGAAAAAAAAAAAGCTGAGACTATGCTGCAGAGCACAGAGGCCCCAACAGCCGGAATTAGAAGCTGTCGCTTAGGGAGCTGAAGGCTGACAAGAGATGGAGCTGAGGCAGGGAGCAGGCAGGCACTCCACACTCCCTTCCCCTCCCCTTCAACTGCTGAGCCTCTCCCCGGGGCAGGTCCCAGGCTGGCAAAAGAGCTTCCTCCCAGAGGCACTAAGCTCTGGTCTGCAGTCTGTCATTCTGTCTGCAGCCAGCCCCCCTCCCAGACCCTTTTCTTTCCCTCTCAAGTGTCACCAGCCCCCTCGCGCTGTCACGTTGCACCAGCTCAGCAGGGTTGGGCCTGGTGGCACATGCCTGGGAGATCCAGAGAGCTGGGGAGGGGGGAGGTGGGGTGAGTCAGCAGGGGACTCTGGTATCTGAGTCAGCAATGGGACTGGGAAGGGGGTAGGGACCCTTCACTTCATGTAAAAGGTGAAACTGAGGCATGATGAATGGGCAGGGACCCTTGCCCCAGCCCCACAGATATATAGCAGGAATTCACCTGCTCAGGGCCCTGAGGGAGGGCAACAAGCCCTCCTCGGCACATCCCCTACAGCCAGAGATTAATTCATCTCCAGGGCCCAAAGACTATGGCATTTTCCTCCGGGGCACCTGGCCCTTTTTCCAGAGGACAGGAAGCTGGGAGGTGGGTATCTGGGCCTTGGCCCCCAACCTGCTGTGCAGAGGCCTCTCCCAGAGGCAGGGTTGCATTTCCTTCCCCATCCCTGGGCTTCCCAGCTCCACACTGGGAAGCTCAGAAACTCTGCCAGGTCTGGCTTCTCCTTCCCCGCCACAGTCATGGGCAAAAACCAGGGCCTGCCCAGGGGGCTCTCTTTGGCACTGGCTCTGGCTTAGGCCCACGTGCCTGGGTCAGTGAGTTCCTCTAGCCTGGATCCACATCCCTACACAGTTCTACCCCAGGGCTGGCGGGGAAATGGGGCAGCTGAGTGCCCAGCAGGAGAGCTAAAGACAGGGCACTGCTCGGGGTACAGGTGTTCCACCCTTGGCTGTATCCAGTGTGTATGCAAGCTGGACGCGTCCATGACAGGCCTTACTGCTGTGAATGGGCAGGACCCCTAGTCTCAACCTGCAACCAGGGAATGCTAGGATCCCAGAGGTCAGGCCCCCAGAGGGATGGAGGGCGGTGGTGGTGGCTCTGTTTATTTTCCGAAGGCACAGGTGCTCAGAGCTAATGGCATTTGTTGTAACTCTCTGATAAGAAAACAAGCTCTTCCTAGAATCAATCCCCACCTGGCTTCTCCCATTTGGGATTTGGATCATGCCACAGAGGCAGTGAACAACTGCCCACAAGCCCTGGTTGAGTGAGTGCTGGATTCAACCATAACTACGACAGCGGCCTAAAAATGTGACCACTCTAAGTCTGCCTAAAGGGGCCCAGGTGGCCTGGAGGTTCACAGCTCCCCCAAGAGGGTGGGGGGCACCTTTGCAATAGGCTCTTCTGCCTCACACCCTGAGGGTGGAGACAAGGAAGGGCCACATGGGGGAGGAGTGGGTGGAGAAAAGGAGTGACCTCATTTTCCAGTGGTTGTGGCATCAGAGCTGGCCAAGGGGAAGTGAATCCCCTTCACTCCCAGAGGCAGGGCCATCCCATTCCACTGGGCTCTGGAAGGGACTTCATCCTGGGGTTCAGCTCCCAAAGGTTGCCCCTCCCCAATCCCACCAGGCTGT